AAGCCTATGAACTGGGCAAATGGGAGGGGATTTGAAACCTCAGAGCTTGTGGATGGGAACCTGGGCGATTGACCATCCAAACTCCCTCTTTGGGTTATTGAAGAAACAATCTTAACTGCTTGCAATTTGATGTTTGTAATCTCAATACCAGGAACCTGGACGAGCTGAAGCTGATTTTGGCCGTCTTGATGCCAAAACAGTTGTGCGAAATGTCTACATTCTCTTCTCCAAAAGTGAAATACCAATAGCTGGAGAAAATCAAGAAATTATGGATTTGGTGGAACCGTCTACTCCTCTTCCCCCATGGTTCACAGAGGAAGATCTTGAAGCCTATGGAGCTTTGTATACGAAATCTGGATTTCGCACTGCCCTGCAAGTTCCTTACCGGTAAAATGGTTTTGCCCTCTGTGTTCACATTAGTCAAGTAAATATAGGCCCCTGCCGTCTTCCTTCACTCCCCTTTTGTCTACAATGCGAGCTAAAGCCTATGGCTGTATCAACAGGCATCAACTGGACTAGGATGCCACACCTTCTACTCATAAGAGCACGAAACCTAGAGTCTATGAAGCACAGACACTTCTAAAAAAGTTTTGTGTTCGTGGATTGTCTGTGTCCAGCACTAACACTTATCCAAAGCATTCATATTCTTGAAAAAAAAATTAGACCTGAATACTCTTTGGACACTTGGAGGAGGCACACATGTCCATCATTTGAACACACATAAATTAAATATAAGTTTGAACAATATACTTAGGAGATAGAACACAAAGATAAAAGAAAACATGCAGATTTGTAAAAGTCGATGTTATGTTGCATTTTTTATTATTTATTATCTTTGAAAGATATATTTGTAAATATGACATATAATAAATATATAAACTTATATATTTTTTCTATCCTCCCACGTGATGTGTCCTACATTTTTTTTGGAAATTGTTGTGTTTTGTGTCTGTATCCATGCTCCGTATCCTGAATGTAGACTCGCAGTTATCAAGATCACCACACTAATCAACAACAGGGTAACACTCAAATCTGAGTCTGAAACATTCATTCTTCATCCTCCCTCATAGTATCTATCAACATACTGAAAACAAAAGATTTTCTAGGTCATACCTTAATAACTACCCTGACCAATCAACACTACACGTCACACAGTTTACACACTATGATATATTGACAAGCCATGAATCTATTGAGCACCAAAGACCTTCAACTCCACTATTTATACTGTGTTAAAACCATGGTATATAGATAACTTATGTGATCAAACAAAAGGTCTACTAATTAAAACTTTTGAACCAGTTTGGCTGACTGATTTCTAACCAGCTACCATCTAAAAATATAGGTTTGCTGATATGTTCTTTTACAGGTCGCTTGGTGAAGAGCTGGGCACACATGTCCATCATTTGAACACACATAAATTAATTATAAGTTTGAACAATATACTTAGGAGATAGAACACAAAGATAAAAGAAAACATGCAGATTTGTAAAAGTCGATGTTATGTTGCATTTTTTATTATTTATTATCTTTGAAAGATATATTTGTAAATATGACATATAATAAATATATAAACTTATATATTTTGTCTATCCTCCCACGTGATGTGTCCTACATTTTTTTTGGAAATTGTTGTGTTTTGTGTCTGTATCCATGCTCCGTATCCTGAATGTAGACTGGCAGTTATCAAGATCACCACACTAATCAACAACAGGGTAACACTCAAATCTGAGTCTGAAACATTCATTCTTCATCCTCCCTCATGGCTCATAGTATCTATCAACATACTGAAAACAAAAGATTTTCTAGGTCATACCTTGATAACTACCCTGACCAATCAACACTACACGTCACACGGTTTACACACTATGATATATTGACAAGCCATGAATCTATTGAGCACCAAAGACCTTCAACTCCACTATTTATACTGTGTTAAAACCATGGTATATAGATAACTTATGTGATCAAACAAAAGGTCGACTAATTAAAACTTTTGAACCAGTTTGGCTGACTGATTTCTAACCAGCTACCATCTAATAATATAGGTTTGCTGATATGTTCTTTTACAGGTCGCTTGGTGAAGAGCTCAAGTTACCAAATACAAAACTTGAAGGTCCGGCATTGCTGATCATGGGTGAGAAGGATTATGTTTTCAAATTTCCAGGAATCGAGGACTACATAAGGAGCGGACAGGTGAAAACATTTGTCCCTGATTTGGAGATAACGTACTTGCCTGAAGGAACCCATTTTGTTCAGGAGCAATTCCCTGATCAAGTGAACCAACTAATCCTCACCTTCCTCAGTAAGCATAGTTGATTTCAAACATTCGAGGGTTGGTTTGTTGTTGTAATTTGAAATGTGTTGAGAGGTTTCGTTTGGAGCTCAAGAATACATTTGAGAAGTTTGAAGTAACAGTATTAGTATGCCAATTGTGACATGAATAATAATTAACTATGTTGGGCATTATCAAAGGAAGAATAATTTTGTACTTCTTCTGTATGTCTTGAAATTTATGTGCAAGATGTTTGGTGCAGCTTATGGAGCTGCCTATAGCTCTTTTCTGTTTTGAAAATTTGTGCCAGTGTATTTGTTGCAATTTTTATTTACTGTTCATGAGATAAAAATAAATTAAAAAAAGAGAACAGATTATTGGGAAGCAGAGAGAGTGGTGATTTTAGCTTCTGCACTTTACTATAAATTAGAGCAGATCAATCATTTGCTGGAAAAGCTATTTCAATGGAATCAAATTTGAACTGTAGAAATGTGCCATCATAAACTAGCTTTTTTTCAATTAATAAGCAATTGCTAACACATAGCAAGCTCTTCTAACTTTCATTTTTGGGGGAGATTTGAAAAAATTATAATTAATTTTAACGTAATTATACATGTCTCCCTCCAGTAACGGAGGTGTTAACAGAATTAATGAATGGCATTAAATTACTATTTACCTTTGTATGTTCATGTCAAATTATTATTTAGCCTTGTATATTTGTGTTAAACCAAACCAAACAAAGCCTTAAGTCTTATCAAATGGGGTCGGATATATGAATCATTCTTCTCCATTTAACTTTAGCCAAGGTTATTTCGTTAGTCAAATTAAGTAGATTCATATCTCTATTTACTATACTAGTCCACGTCAATCTAGATCTATCAATTTCCCTAACACTATCATCTACCGTCATCATATCATATTTGTGTCAAACTAGGTTGGGAAAATTACATTGACTTCTTTCCATAAGGTTTGAAAAAATTATCGTTAGTTCCATAATTTTAACATAATTTACAAATACCCTCCTCTAATAATATATGTCTTAAATAGAATTAATTATATATTTGTGTCAAATAACTTTTTTATCCATTAAATCTTTTTTATTTTTTCCTCTCTTATGTCTCTAATCTCTTTATTCCATCTCTCTCCAACCACGCCACACCACTATTGTTGCTTCACCATCTTCCCTCCAACACCACCCCCTTCTCTTTTTCCCTTTTCTAACACCACATCATACCCTATCTCTCTTTCCTTTTCAACACCACACAACACCATCAATCAACCCTCTTTACTACACAGCACCTCCACCAAATAGACATTATGCCTCTTTAATACAACACCACACAACCCCTCCACCATAACTATTCCACCGCACAACCCATCCACCATAACCCCTCAATGGGTCCACGATATAGTCCTTCCATCATTGCCTCCACTCTCTCCCTCTTGCATCTCTTCCCCTTCTATTGTCCTCCCTTTGATTCACCCTATCTCCCTTCTCTCTCTCCTTTCATTTTTGCTATATTAAATAAACAATAAAACAATTCAATTATGTTTTAAATAAAGAAAAGGTTAAAGTGGTTATTTAAGTGAACAATTTGTATAACATCAGTAAATATTGTAGCCTTTTTATCGGATCTTTAATGACATAGATCAATTCATTATGCGAATTTATAATTTAAGTGAGGTTAGTGTAATTTACCCAATAAAATTATTATGTTTTAAATAAAGAAAGGGAAAATACTATGTAGGTAGGTTCGATGTGAACGGTAATTAAGAGAATAATTAGAGAGGCAAAACTATGTCAATAGTCCAATAATGGTGGGATGACTGGAGGATGAGCAGCTAGGTGAGGGTGAAGCAAGTGGCTCAAGAAGAAAGGAATGACAATGCACAAAATGGGTAGCATCTCCCCCAAATTCCCCAAAAATCCTCTACTTGGACATTGAGAAATGGGTCATATTTATAGGCTTTTCCTTGGTACCAAACGATACCAAGTGGCCAAATAAAGTAAGGATGGACATGTGTCCCTAAGAATCACATGGAATATTCTGCCTTGGGCCACCAGGTTAAAGGTGTCACGTGTTCCTCTGCATGTACTGTGTACTATTTGTTTAACACAAATGCCTCGACAAGTGCACTTACGGTGGGAGTGTTTGCCGCTGCAACTTGCCTCCTTGGCCTGAACCTCAGCAAGTGCATTTACGGGGATAATGTTTGCCACTGCACTTGCCTTCTCAATTCAATTTAGCCAAGACATGCATTCTCAGGACCTCATAGTCTGTTATTGGCTATGCTTGTGTTCACCTCAGCAAAGCCTCCACCTTTAGCCACCTAATCACAAACTCCCTAACTTTCCAAAGTGAAAGCCACAACCAAGCCTACTATCAACCATGTTGTGCCTTAGTACCAAGCCCAAGGGGGCTTCCTTGGTCCTACCTATGTGACTAAGTTAGGTCTATGACCTGGGTAGGTGGAAAGGGAGTCCCCTACACTCGGGCTACCTTACTCCCATCTTCACGGGGTCACCACGGTATATTGGTGTTTCTGGACCTATTGTCAGCTCCAACCAATAGGCTTTGGGCCCATCTATCAGCGCCAAACATTCTCTACTTGTGGAGGGAAAGCTTCTCCCAAAGGCTGTTATCACCTTGACGGGTTATTCCCTCCGCAAGTTAGTTGCGGGGGCTGTAGTTGTTGCAGTGGCTATTTCTTGTGGCAAATTCAAATGGCGATGCCAACAATACTAGAGATGGCGGTGCTGGCAAAGTACCTTCGCAACTTGACCGCTGTAATGCTACCATTGCAACTTAGTTGCTCTGGTTTTCTTTTTCCCTCAACAACTCTAAATAGTAGCGGTACCAGCAATACTTGGAATGGCGGTAATGAGACAAAGTGCCTCAGCAACTTGACCGCTGCAAGCAATGCCTCTGCTACTTGGCTTAGACATTTCCCCCTCATGGAGTCCACTCGGGCCTTTGGCGGGTTGGACCTACCTCAACCCATTGTTAACCTATTTCCCATGGGCTATAGCCTATGCTCCTTTAGTTATTCTTGGTCATCTAAAAAAGGCGACCTCCGCACTTAGATCCATACTTGATTTGGACTTTAATTTCTGACCCTTTACATACTATAAAGATATAATTATATAAATATCACAAATTGCTCTCACTCACAGTTATTATAGTTTTAATGCATACACTTAAATAAAATGAGATTTAAGAAAACGAAGCGTTGACATTGTTTTAAAAATGAGGAACACTAAAAATAGTGTTCTCTCTTCATATGTTACATTAATTAATTGATGGAGAGTGCAAAATGTAAACCAGAGGAATAAAAGTGAAATTCATTAAACCATAGAGTGTAGATGCAATTTATTATTTATTATTCATTTAAACAACTGATACTTGCAGCAAGCATAAGAAACACTCACATTAAATTGTACTTTGTAAAAAGAGAGTTAGGGGTTTAGAGTCGTAGAGGGGAGGGATTGAGAGGAAAGGGTGGTTATGATAACTAGGGATTGGGTGGGTTGTTTGATGGGGAGAGGAGAGTTGGGAGTGACGGGAGAGGGACAAAGTGGTGGTAGTGATACTCATGGTGGGAAAGGAGTTGAGGGTGGCTGGGTCGGCCATGGTAGTGGTGTCGTGTAACAATCAAGATTTTTAATTATTCTGTAAAATTTATACTAATATTATTTAATTACAGATGGGAAAATATATAATTTATTATATATTATTACGTATAATTTTGTAAAGTAATATAATTATTAAAAGTTTAAGGGTCAAAATAATAATAATAATAGGCGTGATAGTAAAATAAATAATTAATTTTATGTTGGTATACGATAGAGTGTAATTTAATTAGGAATTAATTTATTTATATAATTATATTAAAATATTAGGTCCAAGGGTAATTATCTTAAATATCTATTAAAGATAAGAACGAATCTATATAATTATTAATCCAATCTGAGGGAGATTCGCACGCCACATATGTGCCTTATCTCCCAATAAAAAGGAAGGCGTGTCACCTGGAGCAGAAAGGAAAGAAGAAAGGAAAGGAAAGAAAGAAGAAAAGAAAGAGAGAAAGGAAGGAAAGAAAGAAGGAAAGGAAAGTAAAGAAAGAAAGAGAGAGAGGAAGAAAAGGGAAAAGGAAGAAAAAAGAAGGAAAAAATAATGGAAGTTGAAAGAGTTTTTAGTAGTGGAAAGAAAGAGTGAGGTATTAAAGTTAAGGTGAGTTATATTATACCTTTAGTCACCAAAATATATTTTATGTATGCTTTGACTTACCATATTTATTTTATACAAGTTATGTTTTATAAACTATTATAAATTATATAAACATTTCAGTTACGTGGTTTTATTTCTAAACCCTATTTGCTTAAAAGGAAACCCATGGATATGTTTGTTTTACTTTTAAATAACAGTTGATTATGACCTTATATACAATTATGTTTTGTAAGTACAATCACGAGAGTCTTATGTCTCGGGGAACTTAAATAACCATTGGCCTCTGTTTGACCACTTTGTGGTCCTCTATTTGTTATGGATCCATTGACCTCTATTCTGTGCTGAGCAAAGTGCTATGCAGAGCTAAGTGATGTACGGAGCTAAGTGCTACACTATTGTGGGAGTCACCTCTAGAATCCGTACGAGTCACCTCTTGAATCCGTACCTCTGTTCTGACTGTCACTTCTGTGACCTCTGTTCTGTTCTATACCGTGGTTATGACTATATATTTACATAATTTCTGTATTTCAATTTCTGCCACTTAAATGATTTGTTTACCAAATTACAGTGGTTATGGTTATTTATTTACATAATCTCAGTTTTACTACTTAAAGGATTATTTATTCCGACTAAGTTATCTTAAATGTTTTGGCTACATAACAATCCATGGTTATTTCGTGTCCCTTATACTCTTGGTATAATTTTTCTCACTCTGCTATGTGCTTATAGCTGTTTGCCAATTTTCAAGAAATAATGCAATTTAGAAATAGCTTTTGGAAAGTCTTAGATGCGAGGCTACGAAATAGGCACACACAACACTTTTATGATATTTTTTATATATAAATATCGGCCTTTTTGGTCAGTAAATTCTGTAATAAAAATAGAAACTCCGATGATTATTTTGGTACCCTCATTTAAATATTATTTCCGCTCGCGTTTATTGATTTGTTTAAGACTTGGTCGGAGGTAACCTCAGTTACTAGCTATCACGATGCTTAACCCTTGGGTACTACTACAACAAAATGCACATTTGGCGACCAAAATTGGCGACCAAAAAAAATTTAGTCGCCAAAAGTTGTAGAAATGGCGACTAAAAATTTTTTTAGTGGGCAAAAGTAAAATATTTAGCTACTAATTTTTTTTAGTCAGGATATATTGTTTATTGGAGACTAAAAAAAAATTTAGTCGCCAAAAATGCCAGAATTGTCAACAAAAAAAAATTTAGTCGCCATAGGTAGAGATTTGGCTACTAAAACACTTTAGTCGCCGATTGGAAAATAAAAAATTATTTTTTACCTTTGGCGACTAAAATTTTAGTCGCCAATAGTTTATTTTCAGCGACGAAAAATAATTTTAGTGGCCGTAGGTAGAGATTTCGCTACTAAAACACTTTAGTCGCCGATTGGAAAATAAAAAATTATTTTTTACCTTTGGCAACCAAAATTTTAGTAGTCAAAAGTTTATGTTCAGCGATAAAAAATAATTTTAATCGCCAAATAACTAAAATTATTGGAGAGAAATATTTTAAATAGTTTGAAGGATTTATGAAATACTTTCAGCGATTAAAAGCTTTTAGTCGCCAATGGTGTAATATATATATATATTTTGGTTTCCAAACCACAAACCAGCGCCTCTTCTCTCTTTCTTTAGCGGTTCTCCCTCTGCCTCTCCCTCTCACCACCGACTGTCACTACCACTGTCGCTGGCCACCGTCCATCCCCACCGTCGCACGTCGCTACCGCCATCGCCGAAATCACCACCAACACTGCCGCAAGTCATAGGTTTGTCACTATCGCGTTCAGTCCTCTCCCTTGTTGTCGACCTGGGTCTCTCTCTCTGTGTCGAGCCATTCCCTCTCTCTCTATTTCTCTCTCTCTCTTTCTCCCTTCCCCTATTTCCCCATTTCTCACACTTCATCTAGGGTTTATATGATTTTTTTAGTTTAATTTTGTGTTGATTTCAATAATGGGTTTGGTTGAAGTGTTTGATTTCTATAAAATTATGATATTCTTCATGTCGAAAATGGGTTTGATTTTCGTTTTATGGGTTTGATTTTCGAAATTATAATTATGAAGGAAAAATCTTGACAAAAAAATGATGGTTATTTAAATATTTCGCAAAGGAAATGGAGTAAGGAATGAAAGGAATTGCTATATGGACACTACAGTCTTTAGAGATTTATGGATTGAAAAGTTTATTTTAACCACTAAAATGATGACATCTATTTGGGTAGTTTGTCGTAAGAGATAACAAATCAAGTTTGGGGAACCTGGAGCGGGAGATTGCCGGAATTGATTGGAACTTTAATAGCTATGGAGGTTAGGCTGTAGAATATGTATTTATAATGTCTACTATGTTAAATTATTTAATATTCCCTTAGAACTTTCTGAAAGTGCCCGATAGTTTTTCTTTGGCGAGAACTAATGAATCGTATAACTTGTAACTACTCTTTTTAAGCAATCCATTCATTCAGCAATTTATTGAGTGTATGCAAACATGATTCAACCATTGCTTTCTTGCTGGAATACTGATAACTGATGCATATTTGTAAATAATGATGCTTTCGAACAATAATCAATTGTAAGATTCCAAAGCTTTTTCTTGTCCAGTAGTTGGGTTACCCTTGCGATGGAACCACAAAATGCTGCTAATCATTGTCCTGATTAAGTGTTGCTTGATACTTGATATCATCGCCTATACTTTGGTTCAGTTACTAACAAATAGCATCAGTTTCCATCTATTATTACTGTATAGTTTTTTGCTTTGAGAAAAGTAAAATTCTGTTCTATTGATCTGTCTGAATAAAAGTAATTGCACTTTGATTGGTTTGAAATTTGTAGGCATCGATGAAGGTTGTTACAAAGACTGGAGTCTTGATATTCATGCGGCAAGGAAGGTTAGAAAGTTGTTTGTTTCAATTTTTTACATGTTTTTTTTGTGTGCGCGCGCGCGCGTGTGCATGTGTGTGTGTGTGGAGAGTACACTCCTTTTTATATTCTCTCAAACTTTTTTCTTTAACTGTTAGATTCTGGAAGTCGAGAGAGTTCCTAGGTTTCCTCACTCTATGATTCTTGAAGGTGGAGCCATTCATGTAGATGGAGAAGGTATCGTTTTTTACATTACAAGGAAATCATACATGGTCTTGTTTGGCCTCTTTTAATTGATACATTTATATTTGAAGAACATTTGGTTGTTTGTCTCTCGCTGATTCATTCATTCGTACATATATGATAGCATGCACATGTATAGTTAGAGAAGAGATTGCTTAAATTTTTTATACTGGAGGCTAGTACAAAGTTGATCCCCCTTTCTTTATTCAAGATATTCAAGATGTTACAAGTGCACAAAATAGTTTTCAACAAGTTCCATTTCTTACCACATCAGCTGTAATTTGTTAAGTGTTCATAAGCCACTTTGAACAAAATGATACGTATACAGAGAAATAGAAGAAGATAATTACTTGCCTTTTGGTTGCTTAGAATTGCACTAGAATTGTGTAATATAGCTGCTCCTTTGTTTTAATAGGCCTTGGTGTTAACATTCATTTCTTATGAATGAAAAGCTAAGAATCTTTTGTAATAACATTATTGGACAAAAAATTGACATTGGGCAGGCAGGGAAGGAGCAGGAAGGGGTTACATTAGCCGAGTAATGTAGTGCCTTATTCCAACTGCTTATTAAAATCACTTTCATTGTCTACAAAGAAATGATATCTCTGTCACCACCGCCATAGGTGAATCTGATTTGGAAAAAACACCATGGATAGTTCTCGATACCCTTGGAATTCCCTCAATGTAAGTTGTACCGACACTTCGTGTTAGTACAGTCTAGATGTTGGGATTATAGGGCAACATTGAACTAAAAAAAAAAGGATTATTTGGTGATTTATAGATCAGGCTTGAACTTTTTTGGAAACCAATTTTGATTACAATTTTTCTCATTATATTTATGTGAAAAAATACATTTTATTTTTTTTAAAGAAAAAATTTTATGGAATAAATACATTTTATGGATCACTTTAGATCATTAAATTTTATGTTTTGGAATGAAGTGACATATTTCAAAGCACATGTTCTCAATCTCCAAACCGAAATCTCTAGAATAGTAATATAATATAATCCAATAACACAAGGAATATAAAATCTATTAGGGTGATGCTTGATGATAGCTCACTATATTTATTATTAAAGGGGCCATAGGAGTTCCTTTCCTTCTTCTCTTCCAATAATGAACCTTCATCAATCCTCCGCTTATTGTTCTTCTTTCTATAATGATTCTTTAGGTCATATTCTATTCGTGACCATCAACTAATGCATCACTGTATAGTTTGTTTACACAAAACACATTTCACGACTAGATTTCTAACTGTACCCTTATGGTTTCGAATATTGCATATTTCAGTTTTGTTCATAAATTGTTTCCTTCCTTCAGGGACTTGTCTTGCCACCGAGGAGTGCCTCTTGAATAAAAACAAGAACCCTCATTTGACTAAAGAGCAAGTTGAGGATGAACTTAAAGCATATCTTGGAGTCAAGAAGATTATTTGGTTGCCTCATGGATTATTTGGTACCCATTCACCTTGAATATTAAGCACACATGTATAAATATTTTGCATTGAAATTTGAGATGCCTTTCCTGTATATTTCATCCATATTTTTTGGTCTACCTGGCAATCTAGATATTTCTTTAATTTGGTTGGTCTATGTGGCTATTTTTCTCAACAGGATGATGATGAAGCATTCTCATGCTTAAAAATGATGCGTTGGTGTGCAATTATGCATGCGAACATGAAATTAATGTTGTATAGAGAGTTTCTGCTGAAACCGTAGTTCTAGGATTTGAACTTCAAATAAGAGTTTAACACTGCAATTTTTGGTATTTGCTGTAATTTTTGCATTCTTTGGGTAGGTGTTGTGATGCTCAGTAACTTGAATTGCAACCTAGTCCTTTCGAGCAATGGGCTCATGCCAAGTGCTTGACTTTTTGCATATCAAGAAAGATATAAATCATAGGGCTTTATTTTATTGGAAATTTCAAGCCTAGGCTGTTGCTTATGTTATATGGTATGAAAAGTTGTGTGCTCTGCTGTTGATACCTAGAACTTAGAAGGGATACAAATTTCTGAAGTTAAATATAGACAAACCTGATATTTTCGTTTCCCTTGTATCTTGCTATATATGCTACCTGTTGTTCATATCTTGCATTTAGCAAGTTAATATCTTTGAGGTATGTATTATCAATATGTCAATACCTTAAGCATTCTTGTAGCGTTGACTTTTGTTTATCTATTAGCTGTCTTCAAATTTCCCAAGGTATAATGTACATAATTTTGCCTTTAAATATGTTTTAATATATAATTTTTTTCCCTATATTTTGTGCATTTCTTGTATATAAGATTTCTGCTTTGTGTTGAGAAGGAAAAATCTTGACAAAAAAATGATGGTTATTTATATATTTCGCAAAGGAAATGGAGTAAGGAATGAAAGGAATTGCTATATGGACACTACAGTCTTCAGAAATTTTGGGCTTGTTGGAAAACTCTTCCATTCTAAAAATCCTTAGGACAAATACAACAAAATCTAGTACTGCTTTAGTGGGAGAATAACTTAACTCCTTTGTGATTTTGGTTTGAAAGTTTTGAAATTATTTAGGGGTTGTGGACAACAGTGAGAGGCGAAGGAATAGAGTTGGTAAGACGATTGCGACTACATATTTAGGATGGACCATCCTACCAATACTTTATGAATCCTGCTAATATATGTTTCCTAGTTGCAGTTCAGAAATAGATGAAACTGAAAGATTTAATTCTGGTACCATTATTTGACCCTTGGTCTATGCAGGATAGCATGCTTTGAGAGTAAAAACTTTATGCAAGGAAATAAAGTTTCCTTATCTATTGTGACTACATATTTATCTTCATCCTGTGCCTTCTGAATCCTTATCATCCTATCTATTTTCCTATGAGGATATGGGATCAATAATCTTGATTTTGACATTAATGTGTACTAATTGGGCATTGTTTTTAATAAAAGTTTGTATATAGAAGTTGCTAGAGTTACTTTCTCCAACATGTTTGTGATTTTTCCTGCCTCATCGTTGAAGCTTTTCCTATTGATTACTCAAGAGGAAAAAATAAAAAAGACCAAAGTTTAAGCAGGATATTTTTAGTGAACTAAGGCCTTTAACATGGTGTTTTGCAGGTGATGATGATAGTAATGGTCAGATTCACAACTTGTGCTGTTTTGTGAAGCCTGGTGTGGTTTTGTTGTCCTGGACTAGTGATGAATCAGATCCTCAATATGAGCGATCTGTGGAACCCTTTTCTGTTCTCTCTCATGTTACCGACGCTAAAGGTAGAAAACTAGAAATTATTAAACTCCATGTACCTGGGCCACTTTACATGACAGATGAAGAGGCAGCATGACTAATTCAGGCAAACATGATTCTTAGAATTTTACTGTCACAACTCCGTATCGGTTCTGGCTACTCTTTATCCACTAACTGAAAAGTAAATTTACATTTTTTGAGATGTTATGCTCATGTTTACTGAACAATATTGACGGAAATCAAAATTTACTAGTTTTAGGAATGTCAATCTGCAGAACTTGAGGTTAATTTTCCTCCAACAAGAGGGGAATAACGTAACCTAGTCGATGTGAGACCCACGAGAAGATGATAAATTGATTACTAGTGTTAAGTACTTTGTCTTTGATTTAATATTTTTATATTTTCTTTCTTTTAGGACTTTTAATGGCTTTAGTGATAAGACTTCAGTTTTTTAGGTATCTATGCTGGGTAGGAATTAGGATTGGTTTGTGAAAGTTTCCACACATTTTCATGATTATCTACAGACTACACAACCTATAAATAGGCTCTATTGCTGTAAAACGAATTTGGTATCACGTGCATGAATAAAATTAGATTTGATTGATGCATCTTCCTCCCTCTCTGTGTTGCTGTTGCTTTTTCATCCTAAATCTCTCTCTTCTCAGGTGGCGGTTCTCTTCTCCTCTATGTTTCTCTCGTCTTTACCTCCCTATCTCTTCTTTAAAAGCTTCAAAGATTTAGGCCTCGTTCCAAAATCCTTATACCAATGTAAATCTGAACATCAAAGAAGGTAGACACACTAATGCAGGGAATGTGAGGACCAAATGTGGAATAATAAAGACAATTGATAACTAGAAATCGAATGCTATAATTAATGGTTCTAAAGTGAAAAGGATCATTTGCAAACTATTTATTTTGTTTATTTTTGACCATTTATAATAATGCCAAGGTGGTATATTTCTCTGCTACAACTATGGGAAGTTGCAATAGTCCAAAATGCCAAATGGTTTGAAGTGTCCAAATATTTATTTTTCTTATGGTTTTTCTACAGCATGGTATTATAAAAAGACAATTCTCTGTGCTTTTGGAGATGACTGCTAAACTAGGATTTTGGTGACTTGGGAAAAATATAATATTTTAGTACTCAGCAGGCATGTGACACTGTCTCTTCAGTGGGATCATAATATTTTATATAATCAAGGTTATCTTTGATGGAAGTAACAGAAGGAATGCTAGAAATTCTGTATTGAAGGGTTGGTTCTTTTGCTTATTCATTTATTTAGTAGACCTTTTAAGGGACACCTTCCATCTTATTTTCGAAAATCAAACCCACAAAACAAGGAATGCTTGGATCATATAAATGTTAGTGATAAATGAGGGAAAATATGTCACTTCATCTTCTCATTATGTGAATATTGTGTTAATGCTTACAAATTTTCTCAGTGCATGTCGAATATCTAATTCTAGTGTCTGTCTGGATTAATTGGGGGTGAATTGAGATGATTCCCTATTTACAAGTATCCCATACTTTTTGGGTATTTTAAAAATAGACAGTTTAAATAGAAAATATATCCAAAATGATGTGTTAATGATATTTATAAAAATTATGGGGACAACTAGGAAAAATGTGTTGAAATTGATAACAAGTGTTTCATGTTCTTGTTGTTTTTTCCCCCTCATGTCCTGGTTGATTTTCTTCTTTCTTCTCATCCAAAACATGATGCGATGGTCTAAAACAACTGGTTAGGTAAATGTCATGATTATATTAATGAAAAAGTCCAGTCCAAGTATTGACAAAGAAAAAGCTCTTTATAATATCTTCCTAGCATGAGTATTTTTGTTAAATGTTTTATCAAGCTCAAGTTCAATTTTTTTATCAAGCTCCCTCAATGGCACATGCAAGGTTACTTAATTATGTTAAATGTTTCATAATAATATCTTCCTAGCATGACTATTTTTGTTTCTCAAAATGACTTATTTTCGTATTGTAGGTATGGGACCTTGTTACTGGAAAACTTTTACAAACTCGAGCTTTTCCACTATCAATTACCGCAATAGTTGTTGATCCAACAGAGATGAAGTTATTTTCTGGTGGTATAGATTACTAGTGGATATTTCTTTTTTGTATACGGAGGACGTCACTTTTGTTTGATTATCTGTTTGTATGGAATTATTATTTTAGATTAGATTATATTTCGTTTGTATAGAATTTGATGTTACAAGACCAAATTTTTGGATGGTTGAAAGTGAAATAGAAATAGACATATGTATTGTTTTGTTTATATACAGGGTGCAAGTTGCACGAAATAAATATAAGTTGTGCAGAAATTAATAATAATAAAAAAAATAACACTAAATAAAGTTTTTGGTGACTAATGTTTAGTAGCCAAAAAAACAAAATAAAACTTGTTGGCTACTAAAAATTTAGTAGCCAAAAACAAACCAAAGATTTTTTGGCGACTAAAAATTTAGTAGTAAAAAATATATGAGACTTTAGGCGACTAAATAGTTTAGTAGCTAAAAAAAAATATGAAAAGTAATTTTTTTTTTTGGCGACGAAATATTTAGTAGCTAATAATAAATGATAGTTTGGGCGATTAAAAGTTTTAGTCGCTGAAAATGAAAATTAATTTTATTTGAAAACTTTTGGCGACTAAATATTTAGTCGCCAATTTATGACTTTTGGCTATTAAAAAATATTTAGTCGCCAATACCTCGTACTTTTCCCTACTAAAACATTAGTAGCCATTTATAGGACTTTTGGCGACTAAAGTTTTTTTAGTCGCCAAAACCTTCCCTGACCATTTTCCCGCAACAAATCTAGCGACCAAAATATTTAGTCGGGAAAAGGCTTCAGTGACTAAAAACCTTACTTTTGGCGACTAAAACTTTAGTCGCCAAAAGTGCATTTTCTTGTAGTGTACGGAGAGCGGGTTGTGACATGTCAGCCATTAGAGTTACGGAAGGTGGAAGAAGAAAAAAAATGGACAATTTGATAAATTCAAAGAAAATGAAAGCGAATTTAGTTTGTTTGTTTGTTTATTTAATAAAGGAGATTTCATGTGTTTTTATTTACACAATAAAAATAACTCAATACACCTCATTTTTTTAAAAAATTTATTATAATTTCATCTTTATCTAAAATTACCAAAAAAATTATTCAAACTCTAAAAATAAAAACCCTAATTTCTCATTCCATCTATTCATTTTCCACCATTTAATCTAACCAACACCACCGCCGCCACACCACCGCCACCACTCCTCCACCACTTACAATCACCATTTACTTCCCTTTACTACCACCTCTAGTCTCCTTTCTCCTACCACCTTTTCTTTTTTTGAAAACCTTAAATTTGAACGGAAGTGATTGAGACCCCCTCTCCTCCCCACTCCCACCACCCCCCACACACGTGGGGATTGGTGATTGGAGGGGAAAAATAAAAAATAAAAAACTGGACAATCACAAGCCAGTGGGGGTCCAGATCATTTTTCAAATTCAAGACTCTAGATTCCTGTTTATTCTCTCTCTCTCTCTCCCTCTTCCTTTCACGCACGCGTGCATGGAGCAGTGTGGGTGGGGCTATAGGGGAGGTTTGAGAAGAAGAAGAGTGAGAGAAGAGAGGCTATCGAGGTGTTGGTCATTGGAGTAAAAGGCTACAAGGTAATGATCATAGCGTGAAAAAGGTCTGCAAGTGTGGTGGTTATAATGTAAGGTAGGACTGTAGAGGTTGTTGCAAGGTGTAGGTAGAAATGGCCAGATGTGGAGGATGTGCTGACTATAGTGATAAAAAGTGGTGGTTCGGGTGGGTGGGCGTGGATTTTCAGTTTGAAAAGTTAGGGGTTTAAAGGGAAATCACAGATTAAAAATGTGGACATATTTGAAATTATGAAGTCTCTGAATATTTTGAAATTTTAAAATAAGTGCAAATTAGAAAATAAATGTAGTGAACTACATTTGTCAGGTAAATAAAAACGCTCATAAATTTCATGTCTTTGTAAATATTTTTTGAACCTCCCACATCCTTTGCTATTACTATTATTATTACAAAGTCACAAAAGAAAAAAAAATAATTGAAGAATAATCGCTCTATAAATTATTTAATGGTGCATAGCGCAATTATTCTTTAATTAATTCCCTCTCTTTTGCAATTTTGTTTTGGATTTTTCCATTTATTTTATAATTTCCTCTTAAAATAGGAGAAGAGAGAAATTTAAAGGGTAATTACACTCCAATAAAATCTTTCAAAAAAATACATATGCATGAAAAATTTATAATTTTATTATTAATATTTATAAAATTTCTTACTGATTTATAATTATTTTTTCAAAAAATTACTATTGTGACATTTCCTCAAATTTAAATCCTCTAACAAATATTGTTAAGATTCATTTGAGAATTCATTATTTCAATTAATATTTTATTTTTTTATGAAAAACATAAACAATAAATAAAGAGAGCGATGTTACAAGACTTTTTTTTTAAAAAAAATTGGCTCCGTTTGGAAACTTTATTATTTTAGGTTTTTTTTGGCAATTTAGTTATTTTTGTTTGGCTAAAAAAATTATATTTGAGATATAATTGATTTGATAGTTGTGAGAGAAAAAATAAAATGAAAAGGGATTACAACACAGTGGGAATAAGGAAAAAATTATAAAAAACATGTGGGGTGCAAATGATTTTGTGATAGGGTGCAAGTGAAATATTACCCCTCCATGTTTGTGTAAAAAAAAACAAAAATTGTCCTTCTAGGATGTAATTGCCTAAAATGATTATAGTTTGAATGTAATATTTTATTTTATTAACTATTGTAGCATATTTCATCTTTGGGTAAATTATATTTTTAACCTCTTTATATTTGGCCACTTTTTCACTTTAGTTCTTAAAATTTATTTTTTTCTCACTTTGACTCTTCATGTTTCAATTTTTTTACAGTTTACTCTTAAAGTCAATTTCTGTTAAAAATTTAACAAAAAATAACACATTGACAGTCACATGACATAAAAATATTTATTATATATAACTCAAATCTCTGACATAAATTTAAATCTAAATATAATAATATTTTTTTTTCTGTTATTTGACAATTATTATGTCATTTTCTATCTAATTTTGAACAGAAATTAGTTTTAAGAATAAATTGAAAAAACTTGAAATATAGAGGACGAAAGTAAAAAAAAATAAAAATAAATAAATAAATAAAAATTAAGAACCAAAATGAAAAAGTGATCAAATATAATTCAAAATTTATCTTCATGGGTAAATTATGTTGACACCTCCTAAAATTTGGTCCAATTACATTCTGAGCTATTTTGAAAAGATAGTTATAATCAGCTTTTTGGTAAAAAGCTGCTTATAAACAGTTTTTTTGTGAGAGAGGAAGTGGATTATAACTCACTTCCCAAAATAGGCCTCTATGCCCTAACATTTTAGAAATTATATTATCATATTTGTGATTAATAGTCTCATTTTACCAATTTTCTATTTATATAAAATGTAACAACTCCTAATAAAAAAAACATAAAAAATTATATTGAAAAAAAAAATCAGTGTGTTTAGTTTGAGTTTTTTAGATTAACTTTTTTGAAAATTGAGTTTTTTTATTTTTGTATTTTTTTTGTTTTTTGTGAATATTTTTAAAATTTTAAACATTTTTTTTTTACTTTTTTAGATGCACCTTACTTAGATGTATCTAAAAAGTAAAAAAATTTTGAACATATATTTTAAAAAATTAATAAATACATAAAAATATAAAAAAAATGTACTAAATTTTTAATATTTTTTTATATTTTTGGTATTTAGTGAATTTTTAAAAAGTTTTTCTCACAATTTTTTTACTTTTCAAGTATATTTATGTTAGGTATGTCTAAAAATTTTAAAAAATAAGATGAAGAGTAATATGTATTAACTATTTGAAAAATATTTGGTAACCTAAAATTTTGTGGCTTAAATGACTCAAATCTGTCAAAACGACATCGTTTTACAATCAAAATAACATCATTTTAAGTGATTTAAGCCGTTTAAGTTACAAAATTTTGAACTACCTAATATCGTTGTAATTATTTTAGCCCTCCAAACGCGCGCCACAAAAAAAAAAACACAAAAACAAAAACAAAAAGCCGATATCCCAAACACCATAAACCTCCCTCACCAAGCATGCCTAAACCCCCATCGAGCTCGCTTCGATTTTTCGGCTCTCTGTCACTCGTATTCTCACTCTCCTCAAAGTTCACTTCGAAACCTAAACTCTGATTCTTCACTCTCCGTTCTTCTTCTGCATTGTTTCATCTAAGTCCTTGTTGCTCTGTTCAACTTCACCGACTTCTCATCACAAATTTCTGGGGTTAGTTTACTCTTCTTTCTTTCTTTTTTTTTTTTCTTTTTCTTTTTTTTGTTGATAAATAGGGGTTAGTTTACTTCTCTTGCCTTAGATTTTCAATTTCTATTTTGTTGTCATTTTACGCTGAAATATTTGGAAACCCTACCCTAATAATCTATATAATTCTCTTTTAAACTGCTTTTTATATGATAGTATCGATAGTAAAGATTGTATAGAATGTAGATGTTGATTCCCTGTTTGAATGATGTTAAAATTGATATTTAGGTTTTATATTTTAAATTTCTTTGTTTGTTTCGTGTTCTCTCTCTGTTTATATGAATTCTGAAATTCTAAATTCTGAGGTGAAATTCATATTATGTGTTACATTCCGTTTGTTTGGGTGGGAAAAAAAAAATATATATATTTTGTAATTTTTGATGTTTGGTACAATGAAAAATAAAAGTCTAACGGAAAAATGTTTTTCACTTTTAAGGCAAAAAATGTTTTACTAACTAAAGTCTTACGAATATCACCGCAATACCACCACTCTCACCTCATTCTGAAATTCTAAATTCTGAGGTGAAATTCATATTATGTGTTACATTCCGTTTGTTTGGGTGGGAAAAAAAAAATATATATATTTTGTAATTTTTGATGTTTGGTACAATGAAAAATAAAAGTCTAACGGAAAAATGTTTTTCACTTTTAAGGCAAAAAAATGTTTTACTAACTAAAGTCTTACGAATATTACCGCAATACCACCACTCTCACCTCCACCACCACACCATCATCACCATGGCCACTACCACCGTCACTATCACCGCCGCTGCTGCCCTACCACCATGCCACAACCTCTATGGATTTCAAAAATAAGAAGGGTTTTGAGGTTGAATTTTATGAAAATATAAGATATTATTATAGGTGGATTGAGAAACGAAAAGTTAAATGTGAATGAGAGATAGAAGATAAGTATTTTATTACGATGTGCTTGGTGCATGGATTTGGAAAGGTATAGAGAAAAGGTGTATGAAATGTAAGTGAAATGTATCTATGTTTCATTCACATTTCACTCACTTTTTCTATTTTACTTTCTAAATTCCTATCCAAATCCATGAACCAAACACAATCTTAGGGTAGTTGTAGAATTACAACCTTTAACACAAAGGATTTTCAAATAATTACTTCTACATTGTTATTTCAAATGTGTCATGACAAACTCTCAAATTGAATCTTAAAATTCACATCTAAACAATCAAATCTAAAATTGTGGTATTCCCTTTGAATTAGTAGTGTCAAATCATTTCATTTCAGATTCATAAATCCAAACACAATCTTAACTTCTTCTTTTGTTTTTTTTTTCTTTTTTAATTTCATTTATTTGTGATGCATTTGATTATAAATGATGCACGACAGTGATTTTGAACTCATTAACATATATTTGTGTAGTCTATTTGTATTTTTATTTTTGGACCTTTGCTTTTATTTGTACCAAAAATTGCAAAGGATGGATATTTTTCTTTTTATAATTTGTTTGCATCATAGTATGTGACGTAGCGGTAGTGTAGGAAGGAACTAGATATCGTTCTAGTAGAGAAAATAGGGACTAAATATCGTTCTAGTAAATGAGAATTTTTGAATCCACAAGGAAGATAGAAGCAAAACTCGTTAAAAATATTCTTGATTGAATGAATCAATTACAGATGCTTGTAGGCTTATTTATAATAAATTAAACTTAATACTTGTAGGAAAAGTAATTCTAAAATAAATTAGGAAATTTAAATCAACACAAATTAGGAAATCTAAGAGAATAGGAAACTAAAATTCTAAACTATTTAAAATTCTAGTCAAAATCTAATTCCATAATAATAAAATTAAGAAATAAAAAAAAATTATAGAATTTTGTTCTACATCATACTCCCCTTTGTAAAAAAAACTTGTCCTCGAGTTTCACAGGAACGGCAGTAGATGGAGATGCATGAAACTTGAATGGATCTTGAATGTTGAAAGTTTTTGAAATAGTCAAGTCTGCAGGAAGGTCCGCCACATAAGCATTATCATTAATTTTCTGCAAGATGCGAAAAGGGCCAATTTTCTTTTGTTTCAGCTTGTTGTATGTACCCATTGGAAACCTTTCCTTCCTTAAATGTACCATCACCATGTCTCCTACCTAAAAAGTTTGTTTCTAGCGATGTTGATCAGCAGCCATTTTATATTTATCAGCAGACTCTTCTAGCTTCTGTCTAACCTCTAAATGAATTTTAGCTACCTTTTCTGCCATATGATCTGCAATGACACTCATACCAGGAAGTTTGGGCAATGGAACTAAATCCAAGTTGTGCAAAGGCGGCCGAATATAAACAATTGCAAATGGGGATTTGCCACTCGATCTGTTAGGACATTGTTATAAGCAAATTTAGCTTGAGATATAGTGAAGTCCCATTGTTTTGGACTGTCTTGGCACAAACTGCACAAGATATTTCCCAAGGTTCTGTTAACTACCTATGTTTGGCCATCAGTTTGTAGATGACATGTGTTACTGTACTGCAAAGTTGTATCCGGCTGCTTCCACAAAGTTCGCCAAAAATGGCTCAAAAATTTGCTGTCATGATCTGAAACTATGGTTTTGGGCAAACCATGTAATCAAACCACTTCTCGAAAGAACAATTGGGCAACATGAGTAGCATCGGATGTCTTTCTGCAAAGAATAAAATGGCTCATTTTGGAAAATCTGTCAACAACCACAAATATAGAATCCATATCGCGTTGAGTTCTTGGAAGTCCTAGAATGAAGTCCATAGACAAATCTTCCCATGGTGCTTTTGGAATGGGGAGTGGAGTATAAAGACCAGTGTTCTGTGCTTGTCCTTTTGTAGTTTGGCATGTATAGCAATGTTGAACATACTTCTCAACTTCACGCTTCAGTTGTGGCCAGTAATAATGAGATTCCACCAGTGCGACACTCTTATCCTGTCCCATATGACCTGTTAATCCACCAGAGTGTGTCTCACGAATAATGTACTCTCGTAGAGACCCTCGAGGAATACACAAATGACTCTCAAAGAACAAAAATCCATCTTGTAACTGAAATTTGTCTGAACTTGGCAACCCAGAGTTACACTTTGCCCATGCCTCCCTAAAGTCCTCGTCATCTACATAGAGCTCCTTTAGATAATTGAATCCATAAATTTCATTCCAAACAATGGTAAGCAACTCAGCTCGGTGACTTAATGCAGCAGCTACTTTGTTCAATTGACCAAACTTATGTTTGATAGAAAAAGTGAATTTTTGAATGTATGCGATCAATCTAGTTGCATGCGGTTTGGTTTTACTGAATTTTGGAGAAATTTGAGAGCTTGGTGATCGCTATTCAAGATAAACTCCCTTTGTATTAGATATGGTTCCCAATAATGTAGCGGATATTTGATGAATGTATTCATTCATGTAAGACATGAAGGAAAGATTAATGTTACCTGTGTTGTCAGATGTTGGGCCACGCCAGCGAATCCTTTTTCTAGGCGGTCGGTCTTTTGAAATGGAGGAGGCGGCGGTGGATGCGATTGGGCGCCGGAGTTTGTCGATTGTGGAAAGGGGTCAGGGGCTCAGAAGGCCGGTCCTGCTTGTTGGCTTCGAAGTATGTTGGCTGGTGGCGAAAATGCGGAAGGCTTCATTGGATCCCGGGACCTTTCGATTTATGGGACGGCTTACTGGCGGCTGTCGTAGTGTAGCAGTTTGGGTTCGCGGCGAGGAAGAGGGTTGGTCATCCATCCAAATAGTGGTGACGGAGGGAAAGCGGAGGGCTTAGCTTTTCTTTCCGATGTCTGCCTTTGGCGATGGGTGGGGGGATTTGGCTTTGGTTATTGAAGGGTTTGGATTAGGTGATGGTTGGGTAAAGCATCCTGGTGGTGTGCGGGGGATGGGGCTACCTATTTCTACGCCTATGGCAGTGGCAAATCGCGGCATGGCTACAGTGGTTCAAGAGGTACACACAGCACTGGAAGGTGAGTGGTTTCAACTACTGGATAGGGCTTTGGTGGGCCATCTGAGGGGCGTGGGTAGTAAAGGCTTGAGTTTTGCGGCTATGTCAGACTGGGTCTGTTGATGGTGGAAGACGTCAAGGCAAGTTGAGGTGCGGCCACTTGGTGATCAGGCATTTCTGTTTGTTTTTCTCTTCTAGACGAGAGGCGGAAACTTTGTTACGTCGGCGATGGACTCTTGATGGTCGAGATTTGCTGTTGGAATGGTGGACACCCTTGGCCCTCTGTGCATCGGGGACAGAATCACCACCAGGACCAACAGAATGGATCCGTGTGACGGGCTTGCCGCTTCATCTTCGTGGAGAGGAGGTTTATCGTGTGATTGGCGACCAGTGTGGTCGCTTTCTAGAGGTGGACGAGTCATTGGCGGATCTCGGCTCTCTTCGACTGTGTGTGAGGGGTTTGGAGAAGATGCCGACGACTGTCTCGCTCCGGTGGGGATCGTGGCCATATTCCTTACCAATATGGGTGGAGGTCCGGCCGTTGGTTGAGCCTGTGCCGCCATCCGCCGGCGAGGGAGGTGGTTCTGGTTTGGGAATAGAAGGGCGTGATCTGCGGCGGAAGAATCGGCGAATTGCGAAAATTGTGGGGGTCAACGAATATAAACAGAGATTTGGGCGACCCATAGATTTTAAGGGTAAACCGGTTAGGGTTATTCCTAATACCCAAGGTGGCTTTGTAGTGGGCTCAATAAGGGATTTACAAGGTCCACAGTTGGGCCATTCTGAGGCCCAAAAGGCTGTTGGCGTTTCTTTGGGCCAGCAAAGGTGGGCTCCGGTCCATCACCATCCAAAAGTAGGCCTTGATTGTGGAAAGGTTATTTTCAGCCCCCTTGGGTGTGGTTTAGGCCTAGTGGAGAAAGATCCGGCCCTACCCAACTCGGGTCAATCCAATCCAGACCTCAGTCGGGTTTGTGCTTCCCTTCGCGACAACTTGGAGCTTCATTGAGCCTATTCTGCCATGGAAGCGTCGCCGGAGTCTGTGCGACCT